GCCTCTGTGGAGGGAGGACTAGGCCGAGACAGGATCCTTTGGCACACAGAAACAGTCTTAGCTCTTTCCTTAGACTTTTTTTCTCACAACTTCAGATATTCTTAAACTCGATCCACGAAAGGGGCATGGGCATAGCCCCCAACACATCGAAGCCAAAATGCAGGATGCCATCTTCCCGGGTGCCACCCTGTTTTGTATCATGAAATCACGGTGGCCATTTACATTTCTGAGCACAATTCAAAGTGTTGGTGCTGACCTTTAAAGCCCTAAATGGCCTCGGCTCAGTATACCTGAAGGAGCGTCTCCACCCCCATCATTCAGCCCAGAGACCAAGGTCCAGCGCCGAGGGCCTTCTGGCGGTTCCCTCCCTGCAAGAAGTGAGGATACAGGGAACCAGGCAGAGGGCCATCTCGGTGGTGGCGCCCTCCCATCAGATGTCAGGGAGATAAACAACTATCTGACTTTTAGAAGACATCTGAAGGCAGCCCAGTTTAGGGAAGTTTTTAATGTCTGATGTTTTATCGCATTTTTAACATTCTGTTGGGAGCCACCCAGAGTGGCTGGGGAAACCAAGCCAGATGGGCGGCATATAAATAAATACATATTATTATTATTATTATTGTTGTTGTTGTTGTTGTTGTTGTTGTTGTTGCTGTGATCCTGCGTGATTCCTCTCCCGCAGAAAAAAGGTGGGAATAGGGGGCACTGTATGACAATGGTTCCAATCATGCTTTCCTGAGAGTAAGAATTGGGAAAGTGCCCTTTGGTCCTCTGGCAGCTACATTATAGCGGGTCGCAGGGGATCATCTTCTCTCTGGTACTATTGAATACCTACAAGAAGCCATTAGGAGTTTCGGGGTGAGATGCCATTGCCTGGATGCAGTGGTGAAATGAATGGAGGAAAAGAAGCTGAGCTTGAACCTTGGCAAGGCATTATGGGGCTACTTGCCCAGCCTGGATGGCGTTGCCCTCTCCCTGAAGGAGCAGGTTCACGGTGTGAAAGTACTTCCACATCCAGCTCTGTCCCTGCAGGCTCAAGTAGCCTCAGTGGCTAGAACTGCCTTTTACCAACTGCAGCTAGTTTGACAGGTACAGCCTTTCCTGGACCAGGGAAGCCTTGCCACAGTAGTTCATGCACTGATTCCTTCAAGACAGGACTCTTGCAATGTGGGTTCCCTTGCACATGTTCTGGAAGCTGCAGTTAGTGCAGAATGCCGCAGCACGATTGATGGCAGGAGCGAGGCCTTGCCTGCATGTAACACCTGCGCTCAGAGATCCACACTGGTTACCGATTTGCTATTGGGCCAAGTTCAAGGTGTTACTAAGGGCATATAAAGCCCTTAAGAATTTGGAACTAGTTTACCTACAAGATCACCTTACCCCACTTGACCGCTTCAGTTGGTGGAACTGACACCGCTATAGGCATCGTATAATACTCATTTGCATTTGTAAGAACTTGATTGTTTAGTGTGGCAGCACCTGCGCTTTGGAACTCCCTGCCTATTGATATCAGGCAAGGCTCCTTCACTGCACTCTTTTCAGCGCCTGCTAAAAAATATTCCTGTTTAGACAAGCCTCCCAAATGCTTCGGTATGTTTTAAAGTATGGCCGTGAATTTTTCTCAGTTTTCTTGCTTTATCTTTTGGTAAATCATTTTGAGTTTTTTGGGTTTTTTAAAAAGCAATCAAGTAGTGTATAAATTTTATGAAAAAAAGGATAAGAAAAATAAATGTGCACTGAATATGCATTGAATGTATAACGTGTGTATCCCTCTGTGGTTATGATGAAACACAGAAAATAACCACCACCAATGTTCTCAATATGTACTGCACTTTGGCAATGGAATATTTACTAAATGAAGGAGTGGCCTTTTAATCTGGCTGGGATTTTTCTGAAACACACAAACACACTGTGAAAATTCTCCCCCATTGTACTCAATACCAAAACGTAAAATTGCATCCTATTCCTGTTTTTTGAACTAACTTACTTATTCTTTACACTTGTAACTATTGACTATAAGCAGTTACAGGAGCCTATGTACTAGGTATGCATGTTAAAGGCACAAATCCTTTTGCTCCCAAAAAGGGATTCTTTTGAGTGATGTTGCCTAATTAATTGTGAGATGCTTAAAAAAATATAACCATAACAGATGCTCTTAGCATACAACATGTTCTTTTGCATTTTGATCTTTAATATATTGAACAACAGGCTTTAAACCTGTTTGCAAGTCATCCCCCTGCCACCCTGAAATATTTTCCTCCATACACTGAACTCTGAAATTAGGACTGCTTGCCTTACTCCTCCATATGCATTCACAATTTGCCATTATTTCATATTTATCTGCCTCTTTTCTATCAACAACTGCAGCACAAGGCTACATATGTCTGCTCAGAAGTAAGTCCCATTGAGTTCAATGAGATTTAGGGCTGATCCATGCTCCTGTTTGTGATTTCTAGGCTTGGATCCAATAGGTTCTTCCTTCATCATGCCGCTTTTCCCGGGAAAACCTGCTGTTTAACACTGAATCAGAACAAACGCCATTCAAGTTTTCTGCAGGTTGATGTTTGTCCTGATTCAGCAGCAAACCACAGGTTTCCCCTGGGGAAAGCGGTGGGACAAAACAAAAAGCTAGAAATCCCAAGACAAATGGATGAAACCAAGGGAAGTGTGCACGAACCCTTAATCTCAAAAGGGCATTGGCCTGCAGCCTTACAGCACAGTCTTGTGCATGTCTACTCAGATGTCAGCTTCACTGAGTTCACTGGGATTTGCTCCCATGTGAGTGCATATAGGACTGCAATCAACGGCGAGCAGCCCTGCCTCTGATCTGGGTAGTTTTGCTCAGCCAAAAGCCCCCGCAAACGGCTGGCTGCAATAGCTGTGCCGTTCCAGTCTCCAATTACCATTGTGACACACGTTTGCAAAAGACACACACAGCACTACTAGCTCTGACCGGCACCACCTTAGACTGGCCAGGACTTGACTTTAATTGTGGGAAATTCCCTTTGGAATGATACTCAGAATTCAAAGCTCCTGGAGAGTGGGAGGCACCAAGGAGCCTCCATACGGCTTCCTGCTATAAAGTAGCATTCATAACCCAGGCTCTTAAAATTATTATTATCTTATATAATCCAGCTGCTAAAAGAAACAACAAATGTGATAAAGCAGTATTTGTGCTGTGGGTTAATCCACAGAGCCTAGGACTTGACGATCAGAAGGTCGGTATTTCGAATCCCCGTGATGGGGTGAGCTCCCATTGCTCGGTCCCTGCTCCTGCCAACCTAGCAGTTCGAAAGCACGTCAAAGTGCAAGTAGATAAATAGGTACCACTCCAGCAGGAAGGTAAACTGAGTTTCCGTGTACTGCTCTGGTTAACCAGAAGCGGCTTAGTCATGCTGGCCACATGACCTGGAGGCTGTACGCTGGTTCCCTTGGCCAATGGAGCGAGATGAGCACCACAACCCCTGAGTCGGTCACAACTGGACCTAATGGTCAGGGGTTCCTTACCTTTACCTTTTTACCCACTGGACAAGATCCAGATTCCATAACCACCTCAAAATGTGATAATGGCCAGAAACTTAGATGGATTTAAAGGAGAATTAGACAGATCCACGGAGGAGGATTTGTCTATTAGTCATGAAGGCACCATGAAATCTCCAGATTCATGTTGGGGGTCCACACTCAGGTCATTGGACCATATAGATCAGGGTCATGGACTGGCTGGATGAGGAAGAGTGAGGGGAGCCACTCGCCTAAGAGCCCCCCTCCCCAGGGAGGACACAGAAGACGGCAATTTAGCCCCCGGATTGTGGATTCGAGACACTGAGGAGCAATCTGGGGAAGAGACAAGCTGGGAGATGCTACACCCTTGTGCAAATTAATTGAAACAAAGCATGTTTTCTATCTTACTCGTAATCCTGTACTCAAAACAAACACAAAAAGTCAGATGATCATTATGGTGTCGGAAGCCTGCAGCCAATAGAAGGAATGATGCGCTCGCCACAATATATTGAGGTTCTACGAAAGAGAGTTATTCCAGAGCTGGAAAAGAGGTATCCTGACTGTACTGGATTGTTGCAGCAGGACCTAGCCCCCCGTCACACATCGAAAGTGGTGAAGAAATTCATGACAGAGCAGCAAATACAGGTACTTGATTGGCCATGGAATTCCCCGGACGTAAATCCCATTGAGAATTTGTGGTCTAAATGCAAAAGTCGCCTCCATGCTGTAAACTATACGACCATGGAGAAGCTCATTCAGGCACTGATTCAAGTGTGGTACAGGGATCATCAACAGTGATTGCTCGAAACTAGTAGACTCCATGCCAAACCATGTTCAAATGCTGCTTAAAAATAGCAGAGGTCATATCCGTTACTAATGTACGTAGATGTGAGTTTTGTACATGTATATGTGAGTTTTGTACAGCAAACTACATTGGTTGTTTCAATTAATTTGCACAAGGGTGTAGAAGCAGAGGGGTTGAGTGATCAAGGGGGGGGGGTCAGGCGAAGGAGGCCCTTCCAGGACAGGGTTCGAGACTGAGAGCCACAGTGTGAGAGCAGACCCAGACAGGGAGGAGTCAGAGATTGCCCTTGCTACACAGCAGCAGGAGAGTCCCAGTCCTGCTGGCTCCTCCTCCTCCTCTGACACCCTGCTTGAGGAGAGTCCTGCACGTTGCTGAGCAATGGACCAGACCAGTCCAGAGGATCCGCCCACCCACTTGATGCAGCATTTGTCTGCTTGGGACAGATCCAGAGGGAGACGCTAGAGGGAGAAGGGAAGGGCCAGTGGTCAGTTTCAGCAATGCCTCGAGCTGATTGAGTTGAGTCTGAGTATCTCTGCTGAGCTGTTATTTTCTGTTAATAAAACGCTGGTTGCATTCCATGCCTCCTGTGCTTTCCTGCCCTATGGATGACCTGGGCTCATCTGACAGCTCCTTGACATCAGCACTGTTTGCAATGACTGGTTATGGCTCTATAGAGGTCTCTCCCAACCCAACCTGGAAAAGCAGAGGATTGAACCTGGGACCTTTTGTATGCAAAACAGCTACCCTACCACTGAGCTATGGCCTTTCCAGTAGGCTCTTCTTATGTTCTTAAATGTTTCTATATTGTGAACTCTGACTCTAAAAGCCACATCAGACAAAGGGTTGGTTCTCCACTTTTGCACTCCTAGCAGCTTGTCCCAACCTAGAAACAGAAGCTAAGATATTTCGACTCTTGTTTTGACTCCTTTGGGTTCTCTTGGATTTCCTCAGATAGTTGGCCTGAGGAGCAACCCTGAAACTAGCTTTGGGTTTTCGCTTTAGGTGAAATTACAGAGGCAACACAAGTTGCCATGGACTGCTGTGACGGATGGAATTCAGTCCAGAAATGTGTGGTTTCATCCATGAGAAAGAGGGTCCCGACAACCGGTAATGTAACAGGACAGCTCCATACCTTGTCCTGTTTCCTGCAATTAATGATGGTGGGAAACAGGACAGTGCAGCTCTGTGGGTCTCTCGTGTTATACGAGACCCCCCATTCCGCCTTGCCAAGGCATCAGGATAAATCTCTTCACTTCACTTCTCCCTTCATTGGATATGAAATTTGAAGGGAATTTGGAGGCTCTTTCTCAGCTAAAACATCTGCATGGATTTTGAAGACACAAAAAATGTTGCTACCATCAGCAAAATTATGAACATGGGTGAGTGAGGAGGAGGAGGGAAGGCCTCACTGAATTATTTCCAAGTGAATTGCTGGAAGTCTGAAGAACGAAAACGACATTTTGATGAACATCTCATGGTAGGTATGTGTGCAAGCCATTTCTATCTCCACCCCATCACAAATGGGTGATAAAACAATGCAGGAAAGTGTTGGTGCTGACCTTTAAAGCCCTGAACAGCCTCAGCCTTGTCTACCCAAAGGAGCATCTCCACCCCCAGAGTCTAGCCCAGACACTGAGGTGCAGCTCTGAGGGCCTTTTGGCAGTTCCCTCACTGTGAGAAGTGAGGTTATAGGAAACCAGGCATAGGTAGTGAAGCTCTTCTTTGTGTGCCTCCTCCATGAGAGGTCCACAGGGTGGCCACATGAGAACGGGCCTTCTCTGCTGTGGCTCCTCATTTGTGAAATGCTCTCCCCATGAAGGTTTGCCTGGTGCCTTCATTATACACCTTTAGGTGCCAGGCAAAAATGTTCCTCTTCAACCAGGCCTTTGGTTGATTGACATCCAATGCCCTTTTAAAATGTGTTGGGAGAAGGAGAGTTATTAGGTTGTTTTTGTTTTTATTTTGATTATGTATTTTGTGTTTTTATATTGTAATTTTATCCTGTGAACCACCCTGAGGCCTGCGGGTATAGGGCAGTATATTACTACTACTACTACTACCACTACTACTAATAGTGAAGCCCACCCCTGTGAAGCTCCCTCCCATCAGATGTCAAACAGATAGACAACAATTTGACTTTTAGAAGACACCTGAAGCAGCTCTGCACAGGGAAGTTTTAAATGTTTGTGGTTTTAGTGTATATGCTGGAAGTCACCCAGAGTGGCTGGGGCAACTCAGTCAGATCGGCGGGGTACAAATAATAAAATTATTATTTCTATTATTATTAAAGCAGCAGTGAGGGACCTCTGGCCATCCAGATCTTGGGTGACAACTCCCACCTTCTCTCACTGCTGACCATGTTGGCTGGAGGTGATAGGAGGCAGTATCCAACAACATCTGCTCCCTCATCCCTGCATTAGAGGAAGCATGTCCGAATCAACTGGTTTGCTGGAGGGATGGAGCTCTGTTGAACTTGCACGGGTCTGTACTTGTCATTGGCCAGAACAAAAATAAAATAGACAGCAAAGCAGAATAACTTCCTGTTGATTCTCATGCAAGAAAAACTGGAAGGGCAAAGGGAGGTCACAGCTGCCCATCCCACAGAAGTGAATGGGGAATGTTTTATGAACAAGAGCCTTCTTGTTGCATAATGGTGCACATTGAACTCTGTTATTATGCTTGACCACTACAGTAGCTGGTAGAATCTATGAGAGAAACACAGACACTACCCAACACATGGGCTCTGCTTTTGAGCTCCCTGTCCCACTTCATTGAGAGCCATTGTGGTTTCCCATGCAAATAAGCTTTTTTTGAAATGTGATCATTGCCAGTTTATCCAACAGAGTGTAATGACAGTGATGGAGAGTTAATACAGATACAACGAAGCTCATTCTCCCTGCAGTTCACACACACACAGACACACACACACACACACACACACACACACACACACGTGTACGTGTGTGTGTGTATAGTGTTGTGGTTCGGTTCTGCTAGAGTGGTGTGTTTCTCAGTTCTTAATCATATTCCAAGTGGCCGTATTAAAATCATATGCAAAGCTCCAAACAAGAACACATTGGAGAAAGAGAGACAAAGGAATGTGTACGTATGTATATATGAATATTTAAGCACAGACTGTACCTGCATATAAAGCATGTACCAAGAAATGAAGATGGTGATATCTTGGTATAAACTGAATACACATGTATGCAGGGGGCCTGTGTAGTGTACTTGGTGTGCCGTGAGGCAGTTTGGTTCAGAAATAAAGACATTTATTCACCCTCACTTTGAGAAAATACATAAATATGCAGTCATTTTCTTGGCCACGACTACTGCATGCTTGACAGTTATGGTCACCTCATACCAGACCTCACCTAGACCTGGGGCAAAGACAAATCCAGTTTGATTGATTGGGACATTGTGTATTCATCATTAGTCCAGGCTCTGGCAGACAAGACCTGGCAGGTATCTTCTTGTATGCAGACGGCTTTCCTGGTGTGGTCTTGGCTTTTCTGGCAGCTAAGCTGTGAAATTTTATACACTTCTGCGGTGGGGATTAAGGCTATCAAGCCTCCAAGATTTCTCATCTCTCCGACAGCATATGGCAAGTCAACCCTGCTGTAATGTCTCCCTCCTCCCCCTCTCCTCCCCCCCCCAAAAGTAACGAAAAAGGAATGCAAGAGAAGCCTTGACGCTGGGCCTCTCTTGTCACTGGGTGGGCCTTGGGTCTATCAATCAATGTTTCCTTTGAGACAAGGAGCAGCTGGAATAAGCCATGAGTGTAACACAAAAGTTCTCAAGGACCCCCCAACCCATACTGGGTTTTCAGCTTCTCTCCGGGGATCGAGGTAAAATGACAAGAAGACCTAAAGGAGAGATGCAGAGAGACAGAAACTGAATCCGTATGTTTGTCGATTAATGTGAATTGTACCTAGAAGGCATGAGCTGTTAATCCCTGTTCGGGCATTCAGGACCTACAGCTGCCCATGTTTTCTCCATAGCCAATGCATGACCAGCTTCAGGCTGAAGGTGGCTGCCTTCTACATTCATAGGACGCAGGTGGCACTGTGGTCTAAACCACTGAGCCTCTTGGGCTAGCTGATCAGAAGGTCAGCGGTTCGAATCCCCGCGATGGGGTGAGATCCTATTGCTCTGTCCCAGCTCCTGCCAACCTAGCAGTTCGAAAGCACACTAGTGCAAGTAGATAACTAGGTACTGCTGTGGTGGGAAGGTAAACGGCTTTTCCATGTGCTCTGGTTTCTGTCACGGTGTCCCATTGCCCTAGAAGCGGTTTAGTCATGCTGGCCACATGACCTGGAAAGCTGTCTGTGACAAACACTGGCTCCCTCGGCCTGAAAGCGACATGAGCGCCACAACACCATAGTTGCCTTTGACTGGACTTAACCGTCCAGGGGTCCTTTACCTTTACCTTCATAGGGTTTTAAAAATGGGGATGGGAATCCTGATCAATCAGGCTGGAAATAGAAAACAAGCACGCTCACACCCTGGCTGCAGGGTTTTTTTAAAAATTTGCTTTTGCTTTTGCTTTTTTAAAAAGTAACCAAAAGTGGTTTGTGCCACACACAATCCAGAGCAGAGCTGGAGTGGTACAAAGTGGTAACTTTGATGCACACAAACAAGCTTAATTCTCCTGCTAGCTTAGCACTTTTGTCATGAATGCAGTTGTTTCTTCAAACCGGTTGTGTACCGAGCACAGGCAACTGCTTTGCCATGTGCCAAATGCTGCAAAGATAAAGTCTTGTCAATTCATATGCGTAACGAGCCAATTGTGTTGAATGAGATCCACTGCATATGTTACCAGAAAGGTGCAGCTACCTTACTTCTTCCCCTTGGCTGGATCCACTCCGCCTTGTTCTGGTCATATCTGAATGGCAGAGATATGTCGGAAACCTGTTTACTGAGTCAGAGCATCGGTCCATTTAGATTGTTCTTATCTACATCGGTCGGCAGTGGCTCTCTAGCATCTCAGACCTACCCAGAGATGCTCAGGACTAAACCTGGGATCTTTTTTTGCACTCAAAGCCTGCGCTCCACCACTTCGTCCTTCTCTTAATTCTTGCCTCGTGAGCCAATTGCACAAGTGCTGCAATGGCAGATGATCCTGATGGGGCCATCACATGTGATTTCACTCATAACTCTATAGCAAAGAAGCAGAAACATCATTCCGTGTGTGTAGAAATGCAGCCTTGGTTGTGCACAGTCAGGTTGAGATTTAAACCATATAATCATGTGGTACAGCTCTGGTTGGCCTGCACCCTGCAGGAAGGTTATTTGAATATTGTCCCCTAAGAAAATTAATGACCTGAGTGCAGAAAACTGGCATATAAACAGGGAAGGAGTCTAACTTAGCCCTGACATGCTACTTTTCTGTGTGCAGGGAGGTGGTGTGCGGGTGGGTGGGTGGGTGGGTGTGCATGATGAAGCATGCAGCCAGCAACCTGCCTTCTGTATAGGTGCAATCCAAAAAGAGCAGCCTGGAACAGGAGTCTGAAGTTAGTACAGAATGATGCAGCACAATTGCTGACAGGAGTGAGACCCTGTCTGTACATAACACCTCTGCTCAGAGACCTGTACTGGTTGCCAGATTGCTACCAGGCCAAGTTTAACATGATTAGCTTCTAAAGCTCTAACCAGCTTGGGACCAGATTACTTGTGAGGTCTCGTTACCCCACCAAGCGACTTTGATCTGCCAAACTGGCACCGCTAGAGGTGTTGTATAATACTCTCTCCATCTTTTAGTGTGGCAGC